TATGATCTTATGATGGTTTTAAACCTATGGTGATTTTCTTTGATTTTTATTTCTGTTTTTTCTATTTTCCATGTATTTTTTATTTATTTGGTTAATTTTAATTGGTTTAAAATTATTTTTGAGCCATTTAAAATTATGAGGAAATTAGCACATGATTCTATGATGGTTTCTGACCTATGGTGATGTTCTTGGATTTTTGTTTGTGGTCTGACCATTTTATTTCTTTTATTTAGGTTTTATTTGCCTTTTTTATTTGATTTTTTAATTGATTTTAAAATTGCAAATTGGTGTGATATTGTTTTTAATCCATGATGGGGTGATACTTTGTCCTTCTTCAAGTCTTTTGAGCTCTTGATGCTTGCTTGATTGTGGTTTACTTTTTGTGGATGATTTTGATGTTTGATTCTTTCTTAGGCTCATCTTCTTGATTTCCACTTGTATGATCTCTTGTGTGCTCATGATTGAGTGCTACAACTTGTTGATCATTTTGATATTGTGATCTCTTCTTATGCCCATGTCATGTGTTCATTTACTTTTCCCTTTGAGGTTTGTTGGTATATATGTTTGTTTGGTATGGTGTTGACTTGTGTATGAATGATATGCATGACTTGTTGCCTTGTACCCTCTCTTTGATGATTGATATGACTTGAGTATGATATGTTGTGCTTGTTGCCCTACCATGTTTCTTGTGCCATTTGACTTCATCTCATCTTGCTTTGTGATGGTGAATGTTTGTTTGATGTTGACTTGATGATGTTGTTTGCTTTGTTTGAGATTTAAATGAATGTGTTTGTTGTCTTCATCTTGGTTTGATAATGACTTCTTATTTGTCCATTCTTCATTCTTCTTCTTTCTTCTTCTTTTTCATTTTTGGAACTTGTTTAGTTCCATTCTTATTTTCATTTGTAATTGAATTGGAAGGTATTTACTTGTGTTTACTCACATGACCCCTTAGGATTTCTAGTCCCTCTGCTTAAGATGGGAGTATGAGAGACATTAGGATTTCAATCCTTTGCATGATAACATTTAGGATAGTCCCTTCTTTATCTTAACTTTAGGTTCATCCTTTGTATGATAACACTAGGTAGACTTCCCTTTTAATCCTAACTTTAGGACCATTTTGTATGATAACATTAGGGTTTTCGGTTTCTCTTTAGTGTTTTCTTTTGTGTCTTCGCTTCTCATCTCAAACAATCTCAAGACACTTAATAAAGAATGATGAAAATTGTGCGCCACGAGCCTTAAGTATGTGGGAAATGATGAGTGATGGGTTTCTCCTCATTTTTCTAAAGTGTTTACTGAATGCCCTTTGGGCGATATGTGACACATTCACTCATATGTCATAGTCTTTAGTGCAACGTGAATCTCAAACAAAGTCAACTCACTTCACTAAAACTCTTAAACCAAATTCAAATATTTTTATCCTTCGGGATTATTCTTAAATCATTTTCAGAAAGAGCACGTTACTTTTCTGTTCTATCGCAAACATGCATCGATCTTAACTTTTGAAATGGTAACTTAACGCTGCTCATAAAAAACATTTAACCACCCAGTTGTCTAGTTTTCCCGAACCACGTTTGCTCTGATTTGTCATACCAGATGAGGATATGTAGGCACAAGACGACGATGTCTTGGCGAGCAACCTTCCCCCTATCACCCATAGTTTTCCAAACTACGTTGACTCTGACTTTCCCATTACACGAGGGAATACGTAGGCATAGGGTGGCGATGTCCTATTAAGTCTTCTTTTTCTTATCCTGTTCCAGTAGCTACCACCGCATCATTGTTTACCTTGAAAAATGGAAAACAACCGTTGATCTTCCAAATCTAACTTTGGTGACTCACAGGATCGATCAGATTGATCTTAGGACATGTGCTAAAAGTTATGTTTTTAACTAATCTATCTAACATAAACACTTCGACAATGTTTTAGTAAAATGACTTAACAAAAAGTGTTGTTCGACTAGAAAGATAGAGGATAGAGAATTGCAAGAAATGAAGTAAAGAACTTTAAAAAGAGTATGGCAAAATAAAAATTCTTAGAAGGGGTAGATTGTAGGAAAGTTAAAGGAAAGCCTTGTAAAGTTAAGCAAGTAAATTAAACTTCATTGAAAGTAAAAATGGCGTGTTTACATAACGTACATTCTCCTTGAACTCGTTTCTCTACACTCGAGTACTTTGAGTAAACTTAGGAGTGACTTTTACAAAGAGTAAATTACAACACACTGAATTCCATGTCTAAAACTCTTATTTATAATAGTAAAAATAACTACCAATAACCTCCTGAAACCTTCAACTTTCGACAAGTGTCATAGTGCATGTAGTCACTTGCTAAACGAATGCCAGATGTCCTTCTTAGTCATGAGAAAGTATAACTACTCCCTCCATTATTTGAATTTCAAATAGCTTCACTAATCTTCAGCTAATGTCTCGGTCGAAGGCCATTTTCCTTAATGTTTTGGAAATTTCTCTAAGTCCCAAAGCACTTGAATTCGAAGGTCTCCTTGCTCGAAACCTTTTTCCTTTCTCATAAAGACCTTAATATTTTATTTAAATATTTTAATCTATATATGATGCGTCGAATTTGTGAGCTAACAATCATCAGCTTATGTCAGATTGGGAAGGGGTCTAAGGGCGTCAGCTTCAGAAGAACAAACGTAATAGGGTTGTTTCTGGTAGTGTGAGCGATAGAAATGGTTGAGGAAGCCACTGAAAGGGAAGGTCAAAGAAATTTTGAGAGCAAGATTTTGCAGGAAATAAGAAGCATGAGAGAAGTTGGAAAAAGAAAACCAAATATGGAAAGAAGTTATTTATAGGCAAGCAGGCATGCAGTTGAAAAGACAAGGAGCGGTTCCAAATTCAGAGTAAGTGGGAGTAGTTTAAAACCCATAACATTGGGATGCGACCAAGCATGATTAGCTTTCTTGGAAATCGTGGTGCAGAAAGACACCATTATCATGTCAGACTGTGAATGACGCGTGGCTGACTCGACAGAAAAATAATGATGGTGTTGCTGGGTCATTACCAAGATGCGGTCGAAACCTCATAGAACCAAAACGACAAGTTCCTCCGTTGACAAAGTGCTCAGTTGAAACTGGGTTTTGAGGGGGCATCTTGTTGACTGGAAGTTTTGACTAAGGAAAGGTGACACGGAGATTGGCTTGCGGGTCGACAGGCTGGGAAAGGTGGTAAAGGAAACGATGTGAGTCGACGCCAGCAGAGGGAGTTTTGTGAGTCGACTCAGGCCTATTCCGTCGAAGATGTCGACTGATGGGTAAGGAAGCCGACACGAATTAGAAAAACATTTGAGTGGGAAGAAAATTTGAAAAGCTGAGAACGTGGGAAGTTATAGAAGTGGTGGAAGGATACATGGCGCCACCAAGATCAACATGGTAGTTCTTTTATTTTCCTATTTAAGGCAATGCCCGTGTTCATTTTAGGAGACTCATTTTGTAACATTGTAAGGGAAAAACACTCTGAGTACCAAGCGTTAAGAGAAAAGAGTTGCATTCCTGCAAAATGTATGATTGTGTCCACATTTCCTTTTAATAGCAATTTATATTACCAACTTTAAAGATTTCTTGTCTTTTGTTTTTGTCTTTTCTTGTTTATTCATTTGTCTTTATTTAAGTCTACACAGTTTTTCTCAAATTTGTCTTCAACCTATTCTAAACAACACCATTCCACCATCATCTCATATACTCGATCGGTTCGTTCTGCGACTTGTTTGGCCGGTCTCGCAAGTATACCTACGTTAGGAGGTCAGAGGTTGTTCGCGCGAAAACTGCGTGCGAACACATTCCAAATAAAGTGTGTGAATAATGTGTTCAAGAAAAGAAACACATTAATAACTTCAACAAAGATGCAGAAAGCAAGTCGAAGGAAATACTTGAAGTCATATATTTAAATGTGTGTTGTTCTATCCAAGTGAATTCAATTGGAGGTAATTTATACTTTGTCACATTCATGGATGATTTCAGTCGAAAACTGCGGACATATCTAATCAAGAATAAAAGTGATGTGCTTGAGGTGTTCACAATGTTTAAATCTATGGTGGAGAGATAAAGTGGTCAAAAGCTCAAAACCCTGAGAACTGATGGTGGTGGAGAATATGTTTCCAATGATTTTGTTGTTTTATGTGATAAAGAGGAGATTGTGTATGAAGTGGTGTCACCATACACTCCACAACAAAATGGAACTGCAAAGAGGAATAATAGAACTAACATAAACATGGTGAAGAGTATTAATCTAAGAGGCAAGAACTTACCTGATGAGTTATGGGGTGTGGCTGTTTCGACTGCAATATACATCCTGAACAAATATTTGAACCAATGGCCTTTAAACTTTTCACTACAATTGTTATTTGAACTGCGGTGATATGTAACACAGTTTTCAATTTATTATCACCGCCAATAGTCTATGATGGTGAGTATCTCACCCTACATTACCACAGAATTTCAACTGTGATTAAATGTCAATTCTAACCATTATAAAATGTATATTTTATAGTAGTGTGATTCATTAGTATATATACTGCATGTGGCACAATTGTTTTTATTCTCTCTTTCTCTTTGTCTTCTATGTGTGTGTATATAATTTTAACAAATAGTAAGAAGTAGATGGGCTTTAGACTTAGGCATGTGATGCATAGTCACAATTAATTATATTTGTCAAAAATACAATCACATCTTTAGTACCACTATTTAAACACAAAAAGATAAAATTATCAAGTCTTTAGTACCGCATTTTATACACAAAAAGGTATAGAAAACTTTGAAACTCTAAAATGTCAGTTGCATTATTGAGTTGATAGTGAATTTAGTAAAATAACTAAACAACAATATTTTAAACAAAATAACAACATTACATTGATTTGATGAAAGTCATTAGTAATTCAAATACTCACATCCACAAATTGAAAAGACATCATTTTACAATCTCATTACAATAGCCAACATTTATTGACTTTATTTTACATAATAGTTGTATAACTTCTAATTTCACAGTAAACCCAAGAAACATACAACAAACCCAAAGAAACCTAATGGCCAAAAGACCACTAACCAACTTGAATCTGATGCATTATTTTTTACAGTCGAATCTGATGCATTATTTTTGACATTTTTTACAGCATATATTTGCTGAATCTTCTGCAAATCATCGTCATTCACCAACTCAATCTTCTGTTTTGGCAACACAATCGGATACATAACAGCCTCTTCTACAGAAGAATGTTCCAACCCTAACAAATGACCAATTTGATGCATAACAAATGATTCCAAATCCACACCACCCTCCTTAATAACAACACTCTTACTCGACAACACCCATTGTTCTTCTAAATCAAAAAACATAACCCCAAAATGAGAATTGTTGTTAATAAAAGTTCCTCCAACCCTTCCTCCTTCTCCATCAAATTTCAAAAACGCTATACGAATATCCGAATCCTTAAATACCATCGTCTCTGTGAAGTTCAGCCCTGTTACATTTGACCAACGGTTAAACGCGTCTTGAAACAAAGACTTAAGATTGTCTTTAACATGATTCATCGGGTGAAAACCGTATTTTAATTCTTTCCCCGTCCACCATGGTTTGAACGACGTGGTTTCGTTGACGATATCAGCAACACCGCAACGTGGCTTTGTGAGGATGTTATATGTACTTCGATCAAACTGACCTGTAGGAGTGAGATTAAAATATTTCTGAAATTGGATCAATGAAGATTCATCAATGGAATCTGAATTGGAGGTGAAAGAGTCTAAGTAGCCGTATTGCTCTAAGTAGTCATTCACATCGTTTATTTTCTCGAGTTTCTCTTTAAGAAATAGAGCTTTGTCGAGCTTCGATTTGCCTGGAATTGTGCGTATAAGAAAGGGGGAGATTTTGCTTTTGAATACTGATTCAGCTGCTTCTGCCAAACCAGCCAAACCAGGGATCCCCCCGGAGACATTTGCAAAGAGAAAAGGTAGTATGAAGAGGAATGTAAAGGTTTTTAGTGCGCTGAATTTCTTCATAGTTTAGTGATTGTTGTGATATTGTGTTTTGGTTTTGGTTTGAGAAAATGTGAGTTAAGGTATAGCCTTTTAATATAGAAGTTTGTCACTGGATTTGGGAATTATTCATAAGCCACGGGCAGTCCAGTTTAGAGGATAAGGGGACTGCATCTTCTCCACTTGGTTAGGATAGGATACGACAGCAAACAACTAACATTAAAATGGAGCCCTCATTAGGACACAGAATAACAAATATTAAAATGATCCCATAAAACTAAGTTCGGGATTTTAAAACAGTTGCTAGGAAATTTCTACGTACGTTTTTCTTTGTATGCCATCTTTGACTTATATTTTACTTTGACTTATATTTTACCCTCGATGTAGTTATCAAAGTTTATTTCGGAGAAATTGTTCTATAATGGATAAAATATCACATAAGAGTGTTTATAAATTTCAGAAGAATGTTTAATATTTTTTTTTTTGGGTAGATTCTACTTGTTGTTTCTAATTTTCTAAAATAGGTGGTCTTGATGACACTTTTATTGAAGTAGGTCTATCTTTTTCTTTTTACCGGAGAGTCTTGAGTCCCACTGAGAATGAAAGGATATTAGGCAGTAAGTAAGAGTATTTGTGGTTCAGTTTGAATTGATTTTGATGCAAAATATTATCCGATTTAAAAAAAAATTTATTTACAGTTCGGTTCAGTTTTGGATGATTGATTTAAAAAATTCAATCAGATCTGATCCAATTTCTTCCAGTTTGATTTGGATCTGTGTTTTGGATATCCAAATTACAATTTATAATTTTATTAATATTATAAAAACACTAATAAATAATAAATTTGATATAATATATAAAATATACTATATTAAAAGTTAATATTACAAAATGATAATAATCAATTATACTTAAAACAAATGAAATAATAAAAATTAATAAATTAAATTAAACTAATAAATAGTATTTTATAAAATAATATCACCTAATAATAAATTAACACAACATATTATACTAATAAAAACGATTAATACCTATTCTCCTCCTGCCATATAGGCGTTTTTTGAAAGAAAAAAAAAACCCATAAAAAAAAGGTTGAATGAATTCCCCTAATATTTGAAAAGTATCTCTTTTTAAACTTTTGTCAGGCCAACTCATCAAAAATGATGATGTGGTAGAGTTTTATTTTTATTTTTTTTATTTTAATTATTCTCCACATGTTTTAATTATTATAAGCTGTGAGTATTGAGAAGTGCCCATGTGAAGAAAGTGCGGGTTTTGTGAGAGATTGGGAATTTGTTGGTGGTGAATTGATGGAAGAGGCTGATGATTAGGTTGAATTTGCAGAGATTGAAGAGGAAATGGAAGAAGGTCTTGATTGAATTTGGAGTGGGAGTGAATCCAAGTTTGAGTGAGGTTTGGAGTGAATATGAGAAGGATTTTGTGAGGGGAACATCATAGACAGGAACAAAAAGAGTTTGGATTTTCAGTTTTTCATATTACAATATTGTTGTTCTGAAATTTGATGCTATGTATGAGAAGAAAGTAAAGACTAGAAATGAGAATTGGGAAGAAACCAGTGAAAGGGATTATGGATCTAAGGAAGAAAATAGTGAAGGGTATTTTGGGACTGGGTGGGGGTGGTAAGTATTATGATTGCACAGTTCTCTTTAATGAACACACTTTCTCCACTCTAGGTGTATGTTATCCTTTCACTACTTTTGAGATAAAAGTTCAGAAGCATCTAGCGATGGCTCCTTCTTAATTTCATCCTGCAAGTTGGGCATATGTGAATGGTTACCAATATTGAAGTGAGAACCTGTAACGAAAGCCATATGTGATCCTCTTCTTTCATATCTTTAAATGTCATTGTAGTTTTGTGGCTCGAGGGCGTAGTAGAGGGTTAATTTCTTTGGTGTCGGTTTTGCATGGCTTTGGGCCTCTTATGAAGCTACCACCTTTGTTTGAAAATCAGCACTTTCTAGTCAGCCTCACTATCCTTGAGGCTCATGCCACTGCTTGCGTCGTTGAGGACATAGTAGAGGGACGGTGTACCAAGCTATTTCCCAAGTACTGAACTAAAAGGCATTTCCTTATGGGAAACAAAGTGTATGTATATAAAATGGAGGATCTTTCTGATGAGGTTTTGCACCAAAAGAAACGGCTGATGACCTTCATCACTGATATGGGTAAGCATTGCGATTGCACAATTCTCTTTTATGAGCAAATTTCTCCACTCTAAGTATATGTTTACCTTTCACTACTTTTGAGATAAAAGTTCAGAAGCATCTGGCAATGGATCCTTCGTAACTTCATCCTGTAAGTTGGGAATACGTGAATGTTTACCAATATTTGAGTGACAACCTGAAACGAAAGCCATATGTGATCCTCTTCTTTCATATTTTTAAATGTCATTGTAGTTTTGTGGCTCTAGGAAAAAATAGAGGGTTAATTTCTTTGAAGTCGGTTGTGCGTGGCTCTGGGCCTCTTCTGAAGCTACTGCCTTTGTTTGAAAATCATCTCTTTGTAGTCGCTCTCACTATCCTTGAGGCTCATGCAATTGCTTGCATCACTGAGAATATAGTGGAGGGGCGATGTACCGAGCTATTTCCCAAGTACAGGACTGAAAGACATTTCCTTATAGGAAACAAAGTGTATGTATATAAAGTGGAGGATCTTTCTGATGAGGTTTTGCACCAAAAGAAATGGCTGATGACCTTCATCACTGATATGGGTAAGCATTGCGATTGCATAATTCTGTTTTATAAGCATACTTTCTCCACTCTAAGTCTATGTTTACCTTTCACTACTTTTGAGATAAAATTTCAGAAGTATCTGACAATGGATCCTTCGTAACTTTATCCTGTAAGTTGGGAATACATGAATGTTTACCAATATTGAAATGAGAACCTAAAACGAAAGCCATATGTGATCCTCTTCTTTTATATTTTTAAATGTCATTTTAGTTTTGTGGCTCGAGGGTGTAATAGAGGGTTAATTTCTTTGGAGTCGGTTGTGCGTGGCTCTAGGCCTCTTCTGAAGCTACCGCCTTTGTTTGAAAATAATCTCTATGTAGTCACCCTCACTATCCTTGAGGCTCATACCACTGCTTGCGTCGCTGAGAATATAGTGGAGGGACGGTGTACCGAGCTATTTCCCAAGTACTGGACTGAAAGACATTTCCTTATGGGAAATAAAGTGTATGTATATAAAATAAAGGATCTTTCTGATGAGGTTTTGCACCAAAAGAAACGGTTGATGACCTCCATGTTAGAACATAGATTGGTTCTTAATAATATCTCTATGTTTTGATGATAACTCTTATGAAATTTTGTATTCAAGAATTATATACTCTAAAATGTGTTTAAGAATGTTTGCTACAGATATTAAAGTGAATACCATTCTGGAAGAAAATTAGGTCTGAACATGAAAAATATGCAAGGCTCTAAAGCGTCAGAAGCATCTGTTAGAAGAATCTGAACGCTGCCTACAAAAAATTCTGAGCGCTGTCTACAGAAGGATCTGAAGCAGAAGCTACAGAAGAATCTGAAGCAGAAGCCAGAAGCATCTGAAGCATTGAAGAATTATGTATGAAGAGTTTCAAGCTTAGTTTATTTCAAAAGACTCTGATAGTACTAACGCTGCCAGTACTGAGGATCTGATCCCAAACTCTGCTCTGAACAATTACACGCTGAAAACACACTTGCTGCATTACTCTGATTCAATAAACTCTAATGAACATCAGAAGACTCTGACTGCTCAAGACTCTGATGATACTTTGCTGAAACTTATTGAAGAAGAATTCAAAGTTATATCCGTTGGAATGGCCAAACGACTCTTTCCTTATTTATGCTAGACACAAGAACACAGACAAAAAGGATTTCGCTGTGCATTCTACTTCTAGGAAAGGTCATGTGATGTAAAGACAAAAAGGCTCAGACCTTTTAGTACACAGCCTTCAACGTGATAGCTACTTGGACATCTTTGCCTATAAAAGCAAGACTCCATCACTCTTCTTCAGTTGACGAAATACTTGAAAGAATTCAAAGAAAGCTCTCATACAAGTTATTCTCATTAGCTGAATTTATTTCATAGTTCTGAAATCTTAAGTGATAAATCACAGTTGTGATATAGCTTAATTAGAAGCAAATTTAAACACTTGTATTATTCTTACATTTGATTGTAAAAGATCCTTAAGAAGATCCAGTTGGGATCAGTAGTTCTTAAGAAGACTAAGAACAGTTGCTCTTAGTGCTTGCTATTGTAATCAGTTAATTTAATAGTGGATTAAGTCCTTGTTGAGAAAGGCAAATCACTCTTGATAGGGTGGACTGGAGTAGTTGAGTTCAACGAACCAGGATAAAAATACTTGAGTTTTTATTGCTATAAGTTTTTCAATATACTTATTCAACCCCCTTGTAAGTATTTTCTCACCTTCAGTTGGCATCATAGCTCTGGTTCTGTGTGTGCTACGACTTCACAATGACAGAAAAGATCCAGTGAGAAAAATTTGATATATATTTGGTTGTTATTATGGCTGAAACTTCAACATCTAACAGTAACAACAGATATGAAGAAAGGGATAGAATCAACACAAAACCCCCTATGTTTGATGGGGAGAAATTTGATTATTGGAAGGATAGGATAGAAAGTTTCTTCCTTGGTTATGATGCTGATTTGTGGGACTTAGTCATAGATGGGTATGTCCATCCCACTGATGGGAATGGCAAGAAAGTAGACAGAAAATCTATGAATGAAGCCCAAAAGAAGGAGTTTAGAAATCACCACAAGGCTAGAACAATCTTGTTAAATGCAATATCTCACACTGAGTATGAGAAGATCACAAATAGAGAAACTGCATTTGACATGTTTGAGTCTTTGAAGATGACTCACGAAAGAAACCTTCAAGTTAAAGAGACCAAGGCTCTGGCGTTAATACAGAAGTATGAAGCGTTCAAGATGGAAGAATCTGAGTCTATAGAAACTATGTTCTCTAGATTCCAGATCCTCACAGCTGGTCTAAA